AGATTTTAAAAAACAAATCAGTTTCACGGAGCTAGTAATCAGTAAATGGCTTTTAGTATTTGTGTCCAACTACTTGCCCCTCACCTTTGGGTTCGAATCCCACAAGAAACTTAATATTCTTTTATAGTTATGAGGAAGATACTTTAACTAATTTACGGAACGTCACTGGTTTTATTCAGGCTGAAATAATGTACGGAGAGGCACCTGAATTTTGTCTTCACCAGTAAGTCTGAAAAGTCACAATTTATGTTCCTGACGTAAAATCCGCAAAAAATCTATTTGTATCAGACTGCTTATTTTGTATATATTGTTGTAAGTACTAGCGTTATACAATAAGATATAAACTTGGTTATTTTTAGGTTATACATATTTGTTTTAGTTCTGTCGTTTTGGAAGCCCGATGCGTGATAAGACACTGGAACTGAAAATCAACAAGTGCTAAGCAATGATTGTAAAATTATTTGCTAACGGTAAAAACGACTTGCCACTGACTGGATTTGAACCAACACGGCCAGCAATCGTTAGATTACTAGTCTGACAAGTTAATAATTGGACCATACCACATCTAAATTGATTATTTTAAATGATGTCTCATTAATAATCTTATTACGCACATCCAATGTGTTCGATGAGATCAAGACCCAATAAAACAATTAATAATCATAATTCGGTCATCTACGGTACATGTACGCGTGTGTGTACGTGTATGTGCGTTTATGTATAATTGTGTTTGTTTTAATTGCCTTTGTCAACGGCAAAAAACATGAGATCACTTACATTTCCGCGATACCATGGTTTTTTTTTTTGGAGCTTTTTTCCACTAAAACACATTCATCCTTGCATACTACATACCGGCAAAGTCTTGAAGAAATGGATGCATAATACAACCAGTGGAGATCTTCTATCTACATGTACTTTAGTTAGAACTTTTTAAAACTTTTGAAAAGAAAGATTTTTTTACATTAAACTGATACTGGAATCCATGCTAAAACCACTGGAAATGCAATTGAATTTGTTTGTGTTGAATAAACGCGCAACAATATCCTATTACATCGCTATTACATGTACATCGCGTATTGCCATTTAAAAAACACGAACCAAAGTAATTAGAATCATATAATATTATTATTAACATCTGAGTATAATCATTAGCCTGCCAGGTTAGACCAATAAGTAAAGTGTCTGGCATTCTCCTTCTCTTTTTTTTCTAGATGATTTAGGTGAAGTTCAAAAGCACATTAAACTGGTGATAAAACGCATTTCCATTATTTTTATTAAGCAACCCAGATGTGGGTTCAAGCTAGAAGATTGTCCAAGAAAGTTTCAATAAAAATTTAGAATCAGTATTTTGTATACTGCTTGTCAACCTTTCATCTACAAAACATGTTTTTATGGGTCGGGTGGGGGCTGTGTTCATTGAACGCCGTCTTTTCCTTGGTGATCTTGTTTATCATATTTTATAGACATGTATTATAGGTATTGTACTATCGTGGTATCACAATTGGATAAATTATATAATGTCATAGATGTAAACAAATCTGATTACCTTTTCGCTCTTCTTTTTTTTCTTTTCTTTCATTGGCAGTAAAAATATATATTATAACCAGTTTAATATGCTTTCCATGACCAGTTTAAAATGCTTTTGAACCTCACTAAAATCATATAACGGCGCCACAATGTCCGGTGTCCGTCCGTTTTGTGGGTCAGTTGAATTGCTGATCCAATTTCATCACAATTTTACAGGTATGTTCTTGCTATAAATCTCTGCCAAATTTGCCCACAAAATTGATTGCATACTATGCAGAACTCTGGTTACCATAGCAATCAATAGCATAAAATCTTAAAACTTTCATTCAACTCAAGAACCAGAAGATCTGGAGCTTATATATTTGATATGTCGCATATTCTGGTAGACCTCTACGAAGCGTGTTCAAATCATGTCTCTGAGAGTCAATGGAGTCCCACAATGGGGTCTATTAGTTTTGTCATAGAGATATAGGTCTTCTTCTACAGAACCAAAAGAGCTGCAGTTTAGATTTCTGATATGTAACACTGTCTGTCAGGTGGACCTCTACCAAGTTTGTTCAAATCATGACCCCAGGGGTTAAAGGGCCCTCACTTGGGGTCACTTAGTAAGTTTATAGACTTATACAGGACAAACGTCAAGTATTTTCTTTTCCAGAACAAGAGGACCAGGGTGTAGCATTTTCTAGTTGACGTCTACTATACGTTTGTTCAAAACATGATCCTTTGGGTCAAACTGACCACACCCGAGAGACACATATTTCCGAAAGGAATTTTAATCAAAAATTGTCCACTTCATCATGAAAGGAGCTACAGCTAAGATATTTGATAAGAGTATCTTTGCAAAGTAAATCTCTGTTAAGATTGTTCACATCATGGCCCGATGGGCAAAAATGACCACACCACAGACCGCTGTCTTCTGAAAACTTGTTACACCTCTACTCCCTAGACTTGATATTTGCACATGGCATCCCTATCGACAAAACCTTGAAAATAATCCGTGTGAAAGTGACCTTCCTAATCTTGACCGTCACTGTCAACATTTCAAATTTACAAATATCTTTGGTATTAATTTATATATTTTAGTCTAACTTGAACAACACAATCTTAATGAGACCTCTAAAGGGACTTATATAAATCTGGTATTGGCCTTTATATGACTTGTAGCAGTCAGGTTAGCGATTCAGGGCCATCATTGCCCTATTGTATTTTATTTTATCTTCACAATGTCGTCATTTCACTTTGTAAGTTAATAATTTTTGGGGGGAGACAAGCATTTTTTCTCCAAAAAACAAAAACAAAACAGCATCCAGTTTCATTGGGAATCATTTACAGTGCTTTAAAATGTACTGAAAGCAATAAAATGTCGCAAGTCAGTCATAACTAATAATCGTGCTTATAAAATTAAAAAGGTATTGAAAGTTAAATTATTTGTGAAAGTGCTCTCATACGACTTGTGTTCAAGAATAATTCCGTAAGTCCGAAAGAGCATTCGGGAGCATTGTCTAAATACTACAATAAAATAGAGAGAGAGAGAGAAAACAGAACCCCCCCCCCCCCCCCCCCCCCCCCAAAAAAAAGCCCAACACTTGAAACTGAAAATTGAAAATGTTGTAGGCTTGGTTAGATTGAGCCTGTTCGTGGACAGTACAGGAAAGTGCAAGTTACCGTCCAAGCTTCGTAGCACCGGCTTGAGCAGAATCAAGCTGGTTAGTGTCAGGAAGTGGACTCCAAAATGATAGTTATATAACCTGTGTCACAATTGATCTTTAAAATTCAAAAATCAGTTAGCTACATTTCAATCCCATTGTTTTGAAGATGATAATCACTACTTCATGTAACTTATTGTTGAACTAAGCTTTCTTGTTACATAAAGTTGACAATTTTTATTTATGTTTCAGGGTATGTTACTGCTTTGATGGCACATTGCCAAAGAGCTTAGAGTAAGACACTCTTCTTACAGAAAAGCCTGTGAAAGGAAGGAAATGAAGGCAAGACCATTGCCATTGGCACAACGCACACCAAAAAGACTAGGTGTTTTCTAAGGAGTTACTGGTGAAAAACCATGTAAGCAGGTTCAACCGATAATTGAAGTGTTATCTTAGAGTGGCTACGGAATCATTATTAACTAAATCAAAAGCAGCATAACATTTGTTCCGGAAGATTTGGTTCAATAAATGTACGAAATATTCATGTGTGTTGAATTTAAGAGAACTTTCAGAATCAAAATATTTTACCAGTTACAATTGTGTAACCCTTAAACATCACTTAAATTTAATGTGCATACCAGAAATCTTGGATCTATGATGTCTTGGAAATAGTGTTTATAGCATTTTTTGTGTTTATTTATTGAAAACTGTGTTTGACCATGGTAAGCCTTACACCTGGTCTAAAAATAGACATTTACACTCAGTCAGCCTTATTTATAGACATTCATATGACAAGATACCTTATTAGGGGTCACTGGTGCTGAAAAAAGTTTATTTTTTTCGTTTAGCTCATGTAGACTTTGTTAATATAGTCTTTGATATATAACTTGGTAATTTTTTTTCCTTGGGTTGACTTTATTGTCATTTGATGTGTATTGTGTTTAATATTTGTTTAGCCTTTTCTCTGCAAGCAGTAGAATTAATAGCAATGGCATGCCAAGCTAAATTTATTTCTAACAATAGGTCATGACTGTCAACTTTATATGACTGTAAAATTGTCCTGAGCACCATCCCCCTTCTATGATCTCGAGTGAATGAGTTAAACTTGTTTGCAAATAGTTAAAGGCCCATTATGCCTCAAGAATATTTACCAATTTTATTTCCCCAAAACCATTCTTTTTGGTATTTTACAGTTTTTCACAGTAAAGCTCATTTGCCATATGCATGGACTTTATTTTGCACAATTTAACACATGTTTGACATATTTAAATAAATTTTTTTTATTGATTTCTGAGGCATAATGTTCCTTTAATTTAATAGACCCTGGCACAAAAAGGATTTTCTTGTATTGTACAGTGAACTGAATATATAAATGTAAAATGTGCAGCTGGTGAATTTCATTGATAGATGTATATGGAAATAAATATTAGTTACAGTTGAATACCACCATTAGTGTTTGTTTTCAAGACCATCATATTTATTTATAAACTTGTGTTTCTGCATATAAAGCATGTCTGCCTAATGTTAGAAAATCGGAGGAGAATAATGTGGGTTTTTCTTTGAGATACCAACTTGCATACTGAAACCTAACCAAAGTATGCACAAAGGCGAATACTATAGCTCCATATTCTTTAAATAGTTTAACTAAAAACTACATTTTATGACACCATTAATTTTAGTGATCTTTGTAGCTTGTTTGGACATAAGTGTGCTAAAAAAAACAAAAAAACACTTGTGTGAAAGACCATAATAAGACTAAAATCATGGATGGGGATATAACCTGCATGTTTAAAATTCAAACAAATACAAAAATACTAAGAATAATTTATTTATGATAATATACAGAACATTTGAATCCAAAGACAACAACTGGGGGTAACGGAAGCCACTGTACTCCTCTGAGGGAAACTGTTCTCTAATGGCGTTGACTGCACATGCAGGAATGACACGCCTACACTTTCTTGGCAGTAATCCATACACCCATCTTGTAAAGCGCCTGTAGGCAAGGTATCTATATAACCTGAAAACAAAATAATGATCAGCTATTATTCCGGCAAAAGTGCTTCAAAGACTGAAAGAGTGAAAATGGTCTGTTGTATTTCAATAAATTTTACCTCCTCATAACATATTTAATATCTATCTGTGTTCCATAAATGACAAACCCCTTCTGGGGGACGTAGACATGACTAGACTTCAGAGACAAGTATATCCCGGAATCAGTTCCTAGCTCTTATTAAATAGTCCCCTTAGATTTTTACATGCCCTGTGTATATCACTGATAATGTGAGAATTACCTGGATTTCTCACAAACACCTCTAGATAGGTGGGAAACACTGAAAGTGTCTCTGAAAAAATCTGAAGGGTGTTACACAGGATCAAACCCGGGACCTCAGTAGTGACAAGTCAGTGGTCTTACCAACTGAGCTACTGCAACGTGCCACCATTTCAATACTCAAAATTTATTTTTACTGACAGGAAAAGATGAACAAAATACCTGATAAAATTGATTTACTGGAATGTTTGTAAATACAAGTTTATGAATTCATGAAACAAATTAACATTCTTACAAAGCAAAATCATATTATTTAACCCTGAAGTTTATTTTACTCACTCATGAATTTCTTGGTTTTCTTCTCTTGGCCCATTGTTGTGTATAAATTCATAATACGAGGTCTCCAATACATGGATGTTGAGACAGTTCACCTGGAACCCCTCATGAAGTGTGATACAGGGCACACCTTCTGATTCTGCCTTTCCATCAACTATGTTTGTTGACTGGCAGCATTTCCTCTCATGGGCTGTAGGCATGTGAATGCAACATCCACATTCACACCTGTAAATAATATTATAAATAACTATTAAAGCTATAACTATTTCAAAGGTAGTTATTAAAATATTATCTTAGAGATGGACGGACGTTCTATTGAAAGTGGTTGCATAGAAAACTAGAAAGCACCAATTTTTTTGTATTCATTTATTTTTTTTGGGGGGGGGGCGGAAAATTTCATGCTTTAACTGATAAATATATGTGAATCGCAAAAATCAAACTATTCAAAAGAGATGGAAAGATTAAAATTAATCATAGAAAAAAAGAAGAAGACTAAACACAATTACCACTCGTCAACATTGCCGTTAAATGAATCATCGGAGCTGTCTTCAAACTCCGAGTCCGAGTCGGACACACTTTGTTCCTCCTGGCTAACAGCTCTTGGCTCGTACATATAAGGTCTTATTTCATTGACCTCTTCATCATAAATCTCAGAGTCGTCAGAAAAATCCATGATATTGGTTAATTTTTATTCAGTATAAGTTATCTGAGAAAGTTCGATATATATACTCTTTGCTGGTATTCTCGCGTTAAATCTATTCTCGCGTTATTTTTATTTTTCACGAGGTTGAATCACAGCGCCACCTATTGTAAATATTTGTGACCTACTTTTATTCAGCAGTGTTTTGAGTAACATTTTACAGTAATGAACCGATTAAAGGTAAGTAAATCACAAATTTTACCTTGTAAATGCAAAACTTTAACTAAATCATTCACAAAAATGTCTATTCTTTGGTAACTTTCCTCCATTTTAAGATTGACATCTTCCGTCTGCTGACAGGACTCCATTTGTTGTTGTTGTTGTTGCCTAAAACTCCAAAACCTATACCATACCATAGTTTTTTTTTGTTTTTTTTTTCCGGGGTCCCAAAGCAGGCTTAAACAGCAATATGACAAGGAAAGCCTTAAGAGAGCCTATGCAGCTTGTGTTTCAAATGGCATGTCTGTTTATCGGGCATCTAGAGTGTACCATGTCCCGGAGTCTACTTTGAGAGACAGGACTAGACATAATGTCACCCTTGAGGCACGTCCTGGACCAGAGACTCTATTGTCTTCTCTGGAGGAGGACAAGTTAGCACAGCATATAAAGTATATGGCCAGTATCGGATATGGCTACACCATGACCAACATAAGATTTATGGCTGCTGACTATGCCAGGTCAATGGGGAAGAAAGTTGTTGCGAAGGATGGCTTAAGTACTGTGTGGTACTATAGTTTCATGAAAAGAAACCCAGACTTGAAAGCTGTCAAGCCTCAAAAGCTTGATTTGGCCAGAGCTAAAGGTGCCTCTGAAGAAAAAAATAAACAACTATTTCAAAAAACTGAAGAATATTCTAGATGACAATGACTTAATCAATTCACCTGAAAGAATCTATAATATAGATGAAACAGGAGTAAGCACCCAGCACTCACCACCTAAAATAGTTTTGTGGGAAAAATGATAAACCTCAGGCAATTACCTCCCCAAGATCTTCCAATGTAACAATAATAGGAGGAGCAAATGCCCTTGGAAATCATGTGCCTCCTTTTTATATATTCCCTGGGAAAAGGTTTAATTCTCAGTTCATGGAAGGTGCTCAACCTGGTGCAGATGGTACAATGTCGGATAGTGGTTGGGTGAATGGTGAAATTTTTGAAGATTATGTCACGAGACATCTTGCAAAGCACTGTAACCTTGATGCTGTCTCTTCAGATAGACCAGCCACATTGATCCTGTATGATGGGCACAAAAGTCATTTATCGTTGACTTTAAATAAGTGGGCTAGACAGAGGAATGTGGTCCTCTTTGTACTTCCCCCACATACCAGTCATCTCACGCAACCACTGGATGTTGGTGTTTATGGCCCATTCAAAGCCTTCTACTACACTGAGTGTCAACAGTATTTGCAGCATAACCCGGGTGTATACATCACCAAATATGAAATTGCTTCACTAACTTCTAAGCCGTACTTGAAAGCTTTCTCTCCATCAAACATCACATCAGCTTTCAAAAAATCAGGAATATATCCATTTGATGAGTCTCAAATTTCCAAGAGTGACACTGCACCTTCATCAATTTATTCCAGTGAAAATCATGATCAGTGCCAGGGACTGGATACACAAGTTGAATCAACCGAAAAGGCACCACAGCAACCAGAAGAGCCCTCTGACTCGCAAGAAACCATTTTGTACGATGAATCTGTCACTTTCTTTGCAAAGAGACAAATTAACACTGTCAAACAAAGACCTAAGAAAAAATTCATTCCACCATACATAATGGGAAATCTGTTAAATGAAAGAAATACACATATTCTGCAAAATCAAAGGAAGTCTAAGTGTGCCAAATCTGAGAAAACTGTTCAAAATAGACAAAAAAATCCCATACAAACTCCGTCTAAGAAACAGAGGAAGAGTAAGGAGCATGAAGAACCATTCCTAGCACATCTGGAACAACTAAGACAGGGGTACCTATTTCTTTGGACTCTCCAGCACATATGTCAGACAGTGATACTGATATTGAGATAGAGGAGAGAGACAAATGTTGTGTCTGCAAGCTCTACACACCCACTCAACTCAAGCATTGTGTTAGTATTGTCTTCACAAAGTGGGCTCAGTGTAATTTTTGCTCTCATTGGGTACATCTTAGATTTTGTACACCAATTACAGTAGTAAGAAGGGCTACTGTGTTCAGATGCCCACATTGTGTAACTGAAGAATAACTCTTGTGACAGGAAATATTACAAATCAATTTACCTTGTGCTCAGACAAATTTGATTATAGACATGTTTTTGCATTAATTATAAAGTCACACTTGTTGAAACTTTTAGTACAGTTATTGTTCAGTTAATTGCATTAGGTAGTTTACACATGTTTGACTTGCTGAAAGCCTACTGTATGGTATAGATTTTTACCGCGAGAATATAAATAACTTCTATTCAAATGTCAAGGTCAGGGTACCTGTTTATAAAATGGCGGAAAATAAAATTGAAATGTTTTATATCGATTTTTGCAAGTAAATAAATCAATTATTGGTAAAATTGGATGAAGAAAAGGAAAGAACAACAAGGTAAATATTTTGTTTGTCATTACATGACTTTATTTCCTTAGTACCGCGAGAATACCTGCAAACAGGGTATAGCGTTTCAATATGGCGGCGTATCGAAAGTACACCTCTGACGTCACAAGCAAAGGGAAATAATCGATACAAATTTTAACTAAACGGTGCGTTATGCGAACATTTACCTGGTGATTTATGACTTAGAGCGGAGGGTTATAACTTTGCAATTTATTTTAATCTTCTTTTTATATTACATACTTTAATATTTTCAAATAAAACAAAGCGTTAAATTTGACCTTTAAACACGAAAATTGTAAAACTTTGAATTTTGAAACATCCGCAGATGTGGTCATATATACGGCGGTTATTATTGAAGCTTCAATGTGACTTAGTAGTGCCAGTACATGAAAAGCGACGTATGGTCTCCAAGTAAAAGAATGTGTGTGCCCTAAACGAGAAACGAATGGGCGGACTTAAATAAAATAGAATTTTGAAAGCGGATCTGAGGTAACAGTGCTTTAAAATGTACTGAAAGCAATAAAATGTCGCAAGTCAGTCATAACTAATAATCGTACTTATAAAATTAAAAAGGTATTGAAGCCTGCATATTAGGGTCAAGACCCCAAAAGACAAATTCAAAAAGCAGGCGATATATCTTAAATGTGATTATACGGTTGGAATACTAGAACCACCCAAGTTGACAGAAACTAACAATACCACATAACATGTGTACACAACAATAATGTCGTGCTGAACGATCCTCAAGGATTGAACATACAACATAAAACATGATCTTATAGCTTTTATTTTTAATACATACCAGATCAAATTATAAATAAAAACTGTTTGCAAACCAAACACTTTCAAAGCATGGGGAATGTTTGATAGTAACGGGTCTTTGTTTAGTATAGACAGTTTTGCAATTATCTTGTTCTTATAGGTGAATTTATAAACAAATCTGTGTTTACTAAAGACTAATTCAAAATGTTTTATTGGTGCATAAATCGTTCCTACCATTTCAAAGAAAACAACCAAAAACAAAAACGAAATACCTAAGGATGCCATAATCTTAGATTTTCAACTAAGCATTATACTCGGTTCCTATGATATCAAGGGTTCTATGATATCAAGGTATTTGAATTTTCTGTGATTGCTAGTAAAAGCAACACACGATTATGCTATTATTTGTTAAACTTGCACACTACATTCATTTTCATCTGCCAATAAATTTAATTTGGTGAATAATGAATATATTCTATGTATAAACTATTTTATAAAACCTTCATATTTGGCTACCATTTTCCTTAATGGTTTTTACACAGTCAATTAAAATATGTTATAAACACATATACTGACATAGTCTGTTCCTATAGTTTTAATTTTATAGCAAGTTAACTGTTGGAAGTTTTTCACAACTTAACTTGAAAGTTTTGACACATCTATCCTTTCATACTTGCTTTTTAGGGGATTACCTTGATACCGTAGTAACCTCCTCTGAAATTACCCAAAATGGCAGACATTGAAAATAATCTAAAAATGTCATTTTTATTGGTTCTTTTGAAATAATTTTTTGACAAACAGTTCTGGAAAAGGTTCACTTATAAGATGGAAGAAAACACCTCATTCATTTATGATATTTATATTTAAATATTTTCCGATACACATTAAGTATCATGATATCATAGAACCCCGGGCTACATTGACTGAACAGGTTTGGCAGATTTATTGTCCACACAAGTTTTGGTATATCTGTGGAAAAAATATACAAGACTTTGTTAGGAGTTGCGGTGCATTCTTTACCATCTAACTTAACTATAATTTTCCTTTGATTGAATTTATGTAATATTTAATCACCTTACTTGATAGGTCTAGTCAGTTATATATTCTCACCATCTAAACAATACTTTTCAATTTTTATTTTATACCTCTACAAATGTGCCAATTTGACATTAGATATGCTTTGATATTCTTAATCTAAACATGTATTTGAACAATTGTAGGGAGTTTGACACATTTCCATTCTATAACACTTTAACAAACATCAAAAATATTTGCATGTGCATAATACAGAAAGAATAAGAACAACTACACATGGCCTATTTACTTCCCTTGTCACATACCCCCATATACCATTTCCAGATGATACAAATCAATTTAAAATCTAATTCTGTAGTAGTCCATTATAAAGCGTTGTTAATAAGTTTGATACACTTCGCTTGCTTGTTCTGCAATATTCAGTTGTTGAAAGGAATGTGCATTTAACCCCGACAAAATTACAATGAACTGCACCATTTCAGTAGGTGGTTCATCGGCATACATCCAAACCAGATTCTCCAATTTTTCATCAGAACAATTTATTTCAAACGAACAATCTGCACATCGTGTGATTATTCATCATGTTGGGTTCACATGTTACAGTTTATTGATAAGTTGGTGAAAATGGTATTTATAATCCAGGATTTCTTA